AACATGTTTTTCACATAAAAATGAGAAGGCATTCAAAAGAAGTTTCTTTCTATATATATTGATAAAAAGGTTATATACAAGAGACCGATCAAGGACTCGCAAAAAAGGAAACTAAGTCCTAACTACGACAGGTTTTGACCTCTTCTTCGGGAGCAACTTCTCCTTCGGGCCCCTTATCGAATCCGCCTCGACTGCCTTCTTCATCATCATCTTCGTCATCCAAGGAGGTAAGTTGCCTAGCCTCGGCCTCAAGCACCTTGGCTCGGGCTATCTCCTCGGAGAGGTCAAAACCTCGAGTATGGATTTCCTCGAGGGTTTCCCTTCGGGATTGGCACTTTGCTGAGTCTATGACCCATTGCTTTCGGTCAGAAGCCTCCCTTAGCTGCATTTGAGCAGCCTCAGCATCGTCCCGGTACATAGCAATGGACTTGTCCGCCATGACTTTTGTCTTCTCGATCTCCGTCTTGGCCTTAGCAAGCCCAGTTTTGAGCTCCTCGATCCTCTTGGCTTGGGCCAAACTTTTCTTTTTGACGCCCCGAAGCTGAACCTCGACCGATAATAGTTTGGACAAGGTAGCTTCTTTTTCTACAGCCAGGCGATCAATAGTCTCCTTCCACCGATCACACTCGGCCTTGACCTGATCGATATCTCCCCGAAGTAACCCGATCTTTTCAACCTTTTGTTGCAGCTGAGATAACAAAGTATTAACATCCACAGTTGGGTCGAGTCCGTACTCTATCAAAAGGATGCTCACCTATTTATCTAACTCGGCCTTTTCCTCACGATCCGTGGCAAAATCCGCTTGAAGGTCCTTTATAGTCTCATCCTTTTGGCCGCAAAGAAGCTTCAGAGCGTTCCTCTCATCCAAGACCTTTTGGAGCTCGGCCTCGCACTGACTGAGATCAGCTCTAAACTTGGCAAGGGCCTACACAAAAAGGCAAAACGCAAGTTAGATTTAGAAGAGAGTAAAAGAAACAAAGTATAGTAAAACAGATTATTACCCGAGATATGAGACGTTGGGCCTATTCTAGAAGAATAGAAGCATCACTAATATCAGAGGCATCATCGACTCCAGTAAAGCAATCCTGAAAGGGATCCCCTACACTAGAGCCTCCGCCCATATCAAGGGTCTTCAACTCTCGAGTTTCCCTCAACGCCTCCTCAGAAAAGGTCAGAAAAGAAGATAAGTGACCTGCTGTCATGGTCCCGAGCAAGTCACTCGGGATGCTCTGATCGATCTTCGGGGTATCAGAACCGGGCCCGTCCGGTGTAGCCATAGATGGCCGAGAAACGGTCTCGACCTCTGGTAATTCAGGATCCTCACCCGATTTCTTTTTGGAAGCCTCCTCGACATGAGGCTTGATTTTAGCAGCCGCTGTCGGCTCGAAAGGTTTGGCAACCTCGACGGCTTTCCCAGATCGGACCACCAGTGCCGAGGCACTTTCCTCTTCTTCCTATTCTTCGTCTCTCAGTCTTTGGACCGAGTCCATCATGAGAGCGATTACTTTTCTCTTCTCCCTTCGAGTTTTGGGCTTAGGGTCCTCGAACTGCGAGACAGTTTTCCTCTTCTTGTCTTCCCCCTGTTTCGGAACCGGGGACTTGTTTTCTTCCTCGCCACTTGAAGGCCTCAAAACGGCATCCTTGGTCAGGCCTGCATGAGAGAAAATTTATGACGAATGAAGTATAAAAAATGTTTCAAAAACATGAAAAGGAGGCACTTACCGTGATTCTTGGCCTCCCATATGCCTTTTGCCAAATCACGCCAATCGCGTTCGGCATAAGTGAAAGTCAAGGCTAACTTTCAAACCCAATCTTCGAGGTCAGGTACTGCTTGAGGCATCCAAGGAACAACTGTATACCGAAAAGGGATATCAGGCGGAGTTGAAGAAAGGTACGAAGAACAGAGTTTAAAAGATCACTTACGGTTGAAGTTCCACTCCTCAGGAAACGACATCTACTCTTCTGGTATAATGTCACGGATCCTCACCCAAACAAAATGACTCATCCAACCCCGATCCTTGTCTTCGTCGATGCTCGAGATCAAGGCCTTCGTTTCCCGGCGTTGGAGCATGATTAGTCCCTGATAGATTCGAGGCCGATACAACCGCATGAGGTGATTTAGAGTAAACTCTAGCCCCCCGGCCTTGCCAGACAAGAAGCGCAGTATGATTACTATGCACCATAGAGAGGGGTGAATTTGGCCAAGAGTGACCTGATATCTTTTACAAAGATCAATAATCACTGGATCGAGGGGACCCAATATGAAGGGGTAAGTATATACACTTAAGAACCCCTCCACATAAGCGGTGATGCTCTCTTCGGGAGAAGGAATTTGTAACACGGCCTCGGGACTCCAGTTGCAGTCCCTCCTTACGGCCTCGAGGTGGCCCTGTGTTATCGAGCACATGTACATCGACACATGCTCACATCGACCTGGGATCGAGGAAGGGTTTTTGACCTTGAAATCAGACTTTAGAATACACGGGCCGGGAACATACTCGTGGGGAAGCGGCTCCGCCGACACCTTGCCACCGGACGGCCGGGAAGAAGAGCAAAAATCTTTCTCCTTCTGCGGAATGGTCTTTGAGGTTTTCGCCATTTGTGTAAGTAAAAAGGAGCGAAGGAAGATAAAAGGGTAATGGTTTCAACGCTGATGAAGATGGCTTTATAGATGGCGAAAAGGAGACGAAAAAAGTGAGAAGATTTAGAGGTTTGATTAGAGCAAAAAGTAAAGTTTGATTCAATGAAGAAACGGGCTATTTATAGGCTGAACAGTGGCAGTTCAATATCGGTAATAGCCGACATCGTCTGACACGCATTAAATGTCTCGGTAAACTGAACTGACGTGACAGCTATCACGTGCATCACGATCGGACTCGATGCAAACGTTAGTATATATCTAATCATATCGTTGGAAAATCATATCGTTTCTCGTTACATCCTTCCCGAGAAACGAGTGGACTATTTGTATACGGCCAAAATCGATTAGTTTGTCGTACAAACTGGTCGAGATAGTAATACTTTGATCGAAAAGCATCTTCGTAATATCAGGTTGAGGTCCGAAGTTAGGTCATCAAGTTTCGAGTTTTAGGACCGATCAATGTCAAGCTCGATATCATTACCGAGTTCGAACTCAAATCGAACCATGAGGCGAAGCAAAATTATCGAGCTTAAGATTCATAGACCGGCCGGCACCGACACCGACCCCGAATCAACACCGGACTCCGAGCCAGAATCGAGCTCGAGTCAAGATCGAGAGCCCGAATCAACACCGGACTCCGAGCCAGAATCGAGCTCATAGACAAGAGCCGTTGCAACCGCACTAGGGGAGAGAATCCTGGCGGGAATTAGGGAAAAACTAATTCATCATGGGTTCCCACTATGTATTTTTTTATATCTAAAGTAAGTTCCCTCCACTATAAAAGGGATGACTGTTGTTTCTGTAAGGGGATCAAGACATTCACACATTGTAATAAAAATACTATTTTTTCTCATATTGAAAGATTAATCTTTTTGAGCTCCATTACTTCATTTTATCTTGTTCATTCATTTTCCTCATTTTAACTGTGTTTATCTTTCATTCTTTATAGTCAAGGTTATATTTCCATTTCTCTTTACAATTTGTATAAAGGTATACCACATACCCTTAGAACTACACACAAATTCAACTCTATCCGATTTTCCGGGTAAACAGTAGTATTTTTAGAAGTGCGTGGAAGTGGTTAACAAAACCTTGCGTGTATATTAATTTAATTCTCGATAATTAACTATTAAGAAAATGCTATAAGTCTAGAACGACCTTTATGTGATCTATATCATAGTCATAGAGGGTCTAACCATCTACTAAAACTATGATATTTGCAGCGACGATGTCTTGACGTTTTTTTTAACGGTTTCTTTCACCACCTTACAATTTGTTCTGATCAAGAACGTATGCATTGCTGGATGTAAAGCTGGAATTCATCTTCAATTGGATAGAGGAAATTTATTACCTTTCTTATTCAATACTACTATTAAAATAGAATGGAGAGAAAGAAAGTATGCGGGCTAAAAAAGACAGGTGAAAAACGTTTATACGGAGTGCCATTGACTTAAAAAAGCATGTAACAACGCCTTTAACTTTCATTTAAGAAAATAAAAAACATACCTAACATTCTGAAAGCGATTGAAATTAAAGAGCTCAAAAAACGTTGCAGTAAGTGATAATCACATATATTAATTCTTGAAAATTTTAACCGGCAAATATATATACTATATTTATTATAAATTAAAATTTTTTTAAAATATTATTTTATATAGTTACCTTTTTGTTTTTATAGCAAAATAGGTATTTATGATATAACTATCATTAAGGCGTTAAATACGATATTTATGTTTTTTCTCTCTCATTCTTTCGGTTATTATATCTCAAACTCTCACCAAAATAGTTCTTGTTTCTCTCTCCACCATCTCTCTCTTATCTCCAGGATCTCTCTATGTTAAAGCACGATTCGCTCTCACTTTCAACGTTTTTGCTCCAAATATTCGTTGTAAGTACTAAAATTTTTGAGTTTTTGGCCGATTCACGCTTCTTCTTTTTCTCTTCAATCTTACCCACTAATGATATGTCTACTTTGGGCCTAGAGACACACGACTTTCGTACGCATCACTAGGATCTAAGACTTATTTATTTATATACCCAACATCTCTTTGAGCTTTGTCTACTGTGATTCGCCTAAAATATCATAGGTATGCTTTGCACCATTTAATAGATTTGTAATTGAACGTGGATACTAGTTTTGGAGTTCATCCTTTCGAGTTGTTTGTCTTTTGCAACAGGAACACTAGGGTCAGGAAGAAAATAATTGTCCAAAAATATGATAGACTTTCTTGACTTGAAACATTTCTCATTTTCTCTTTTTGGAGAAGTCGACATTTTTTAATGCCAAACATATATAAACATGTCTCTTAACTACCAGGAACTTTTTGTTTTCTCGAAACCAGAAAGCTACTGAGAAAAATGAAATTAACATTTAATGTCTAATTCTAACTAAACCACTCCGATCCAGAGTTGCTTAAAAACAATTACAAAGTAACATAAAGTCAAAAGCTGGTTATAGCTGCGCGTTATTAATTTTTGCTAGAGCCAAGTAGATGTTAGGATCTTGTACAAGAAATTGAAACCCAGAAATAAAAAAAGCGAACATTATGAGAATGATTAAACTCCGTACAGCAAAAGGGCGAATTTTTTTCTTCTTATTATTATTTTTAGCTTGAAGCAGCTTCCTCTTGGATTCGACCGAGCAATTGATTAACAGCGTCAGCAATTTCATCTGCAGTAGTTAACTGGCACCCTTCCTCTAGCTGTTCCAAATTCCAAATCCACAGCACAAAATGTCACATTAGATATATAAATATTATAAGAAAATTTAAAAACGGAAAAAAAAATCTCGACTTAATTAGAACCTAAGGCAATGAATATATTAGTGGTTTAATTTAACTTGTTGTAATGTGTTGTAACTAATTGGATTATTACGAGCAGCTACATGTACTTAATTATTTCTGTGTCATGATAATGTAATTACTGTGTATATAGAAGTTGTAATTAACTCAATCAAAATTTAGTGACAAACCTTGAGACTGAGGGAATAAAGAACCATATGGTCAACAGTGGTGACATTGAGATGGAGAACGGTGAGCCATAGACACTGAAGCCCAGCTACCATTTTCAAGAGCTGTTTTGGCCTTCTCTTTGAGAGTATCTTGAGATTGGCATGGCTCTCCGCCATGGTCACTTCTATCTCCGCCAACGCTAACTGTTTTTCGGCGGCCAATGGAGAGTCACATGTGGTGGCTGCCGCAGCATCTGCCGGAGTAGAACTGTTGGAATGATTTGAATGAGTTGAGTACTGTGGAAAACTGAAGTAATCAGCAAATAGTGGAGTTGATAATGAGCCATGGCAATCCGATTGTTGTTGTTGTTGTTGTTGAGAATGAGTTATCTTTTGAGCTTCTAGGGTTTGAAGATGGTGTTCTAGCTCCTTCACAAAGTTTATGGCTCCTCCAATTATTGATGCTTGGTCACCCTGAAATTAAAAATTCCTTTATTTTCACTATAATTAAAAAGGAGATCAAATGAAAATGATGTTTATTTAACCACACGTAATATGATAGGAACTGCATATATAAATATAATTCCAAACAATCATTTTCATCGTTAAAAAGTACAGTAAGCAATAAATGCTAAATATCATGGCATGAATATTTGAAAACTAAATCCCGGACCCCGCTTCCCTTTGTATGGAAAATTTCTCAAAAATTACTTCTCCGTAGTAGTTAACCTTTCTTTTTAGGGCAAAAGACAATTAAAATTATGCAGTTTGTTAAAAATAGCTAGCTAGGGTGACAATATATATTCTTTTCATGCCTTCTCATTTTACATTCATAAAAAGTTTGTCAACTTTACAAAAAAGTAAAACTAAAACTGAAATAAAAATAAAAGAATTTGAAAATATATTCGTAAAAAGCAAGAAGAACATACCCTTTGAACGTAGGAAGGTGGCATCAAAGATCGAATAACAGCAAGGTATTCATTCATCTGCTTACGACGGTTGCGTTCAACAGCAATGTGAGTCATTCTCTGGTTCTCCAATTCTTCCTTGTTTTTACAACTTCTAGTTCGTCTTCTTTTCCGGCGGCCGGAAACGGTGGCGGCTCTGGCCGGCGGCGGCGGTTCCATCATGGCCGGAGAAGCTTCCATAAGCAGCTGATTAACATTAGGAGAATCTTCGATAGAAGAATAATTTGGATCCCAACTATATTCTTTCTCATTGTTGTTGTACATCACTGGTGAAGATGAAGACTCCCTATTGTTATTACTATCATAATTGCCAGTATCCAACAGACTTGTAAAAGTCATTTCTTCTTCTCCTTGTAAAAAACCCAACTCATAATTATAATTACTCAAATTAGCTGGAATATAGTACTCTTTGCAACTGTACCCAAATGATTCTTGAGGGTAAATCACTGTCTCTAATGCCATCTCTCTTTGCCTTTTGCTTTCTACTCCTTCTTTTTAACCCAACTATTTTGTTTTCATCATATATGAGGACAAATGGGGTGAGAGTATGGACGAGAAAAGTAGTTTGAAAGGCCAAGAAAGAAAAAAAGGACCAACAAAAGAAGAAGATGAGAAATATAATGTTTCTTCCAAAGAAACCTCACTTTAGAATATTGGAAAGTTTAAGCAAAAAGCACAAGCACTAGAAACTCAAAGGATCAAACAAACAAAGCTTTTTATAATCTCTTTTTCCTTTCTAGCAGATCATGAAGTGTGTTATATATAAGAGAAAAAAGAGCACTGAATTTAACCTAAGGAAAATTGTACAGAATGTCACACGTGACACACAAAAGCAAGTTGGACTAGTCACCACAACTTGCAAACATATAATACAAGAGAGGAGGCAGGCAGGCAGGAGAAAGAGAATAGAAATGGAGAAGTGAATAGCTAACTCCTGAATCTGTATTCAGAAATTTTGATGACTAATGGTCCCCTATTTAGATTTACAAAGATGGTGAACATATGGTGGGACCCAAGAAAAACCAGCACAGGCCAAAGACAAATATACCATTAATAGTAGCAAAATAAAACCAAATATTGGTGTCAACAACTTTAATTTGTACTAATAGCAATATGGTTTTGATTCCAAAAGTAAGGGTATTATATAAATGATCACTTTAGCAAACACCCTCATGCCGCATACATACGCAACGATCTAATTTTAATTTTATAAGTTCTAAATTTAAAAATAACGATTTCAAATACTAATGACTAGATTTTAAATTAATAATTATACATATTTAATGAATTTCTTAATACAAATATAATTTAAGCAAAAGCTATTGGGTTCGACCGAACCCGTAACTCGATATATATATATATATATATATATATATATATATATATATATATATATATATATATATATATATATATATATATTATCACTTTTTTAAGAAAAAACATTTTTATACATGTATATAAAAAATATGTTACTACATAGTGCTTCTCTAGATGATAACTTTTAAAAGCACTCTTGGAAAATTTACAGAAACCTCTCATTTTTCTTACACTGTAACTGTGACAAATAATATGGTAGGAAGACGGTATGAATTAGGTTTAAGAAAATACTTAAGCTTTCTACTCTTTTCTGATTATGGTATCTGATTACGTTATTACCTTAGTGAACACCTCTTACGATTATAATTTGTGAAATATATTAGGGCATAATAAATTATAGTAACTAACCTCAACTCGGCTCAACCAAGAAAAAAATGGAATTATAATTATTTGTCTCAAGAATGATATATATGGCCGAGGATTTCAGAAATAATCTTGACCAGACTAATTACTCAAAAGCTGAATATGATTAGTGGTGTTTAGGCTGACAATATATGTACAACAAGGACATTGAAGTCCATTGTCAACTATGTACAATCAAAGTGAAATTAAAAGGGGCCGGTGATATCGTCACTTGCGATCCTAAACTTACACCAAATAGGTGCATTGTATAATGCAGAAAAGTTTTGCCTAAATGCTGCGTAGCCTTTGTTTCTTTTGGTAAATAGTTGGACCCTGTCCACGGAACGAACGAAAGAAAAGAAAAAAAATAAGAATCTATTGCTGACGAAAAGTTGATGATAGCTCAGAGATTCTAGCAAGATCTGGAAAAAGTGTTCTCTGCTCTGGCTTGCTTGTGTTTGAGTGTCTATAGCATGTGGTATAATTTTTTTTTAACATCATCAGCGCTACAATAAAGTTGTCTCCGTATCACCTATAGGTCACTGGATCGAGTCGTGGATATAACCGTTAATGCTTACATTACGGTGGACCGCATACGTCACACCCTTGGGATGCGACCCTTCCCCAGATCCTGCGTGAACGCGAAATAACTTGTACACCAAGTTGCCATGTTATCAATCTAATTTAATTAATTGTAATACATTTTCACTCTATTTCTCAAGTTACCGTATCAAACTTGACAATAAGATTTATCTGTTGTTGTAGGTCATATTATTTGATAAATTAACGCAAACAATTTAAACTCAAAACAGAAAATAGGAAATAGTATGTGGTGGTTCAGGTTGGTTTTTGGAATATATATCAGCTGAAGCAGAGGAATCCATGTGACTAATCAACAGAAACAGAGTACTCTTTATCTTCTACGATGATGTCTCTGTTTCCTTCTTACTTTCCCAAGACTCCCTGTCCTCTCCTCTCTCTCTCTCTCTTCTATGGAAAATTTATCTTATTAATCAACTAATTAAATCAATAAAACATTCTTTACGTTAATTTAACTAATAATTAAATAAAATTCTCTTGTCTAACAAGACATTCTCTCTAGGGTTTCATGCTTTTTGCTCTTCCTCGATTGCCCTTTCCGACGGAATATTTATTTGGCTCATTTGCTCTCGAGTTTACGTTAATTTATTGTTCTTTCATTCCTTTCACATCTATTTAATAAGTATTTAATTAAGGGACACAATTTGAAGGATAAAATCAAAACCCAACTGGCAAATACTTCGAATGTATCATTAAAAATGGTTTTTAGCTGATTAGAGTTAGAAGATGTAATTAACAAGTGATTAGAGAATAATATGCAACTTGACTTAGGAGTTAATACTTTAATGCAATAGGTATGATTCCCTTTTTGATTTTCTATGACGAAAGTACACGCAAACAGCTTGAAAATCACTCCTCAGTCTCATAGCAATTTCATGGCGTTTATGGGAAGTTGTGCTTCGGCAACTCATGTCCTTTCCCCATATAATTATTGATAAAATTCGTACTCTCTGATTTGTGGTCACCATCTATTTTGCACGACAAATAATAAAATAAAAATAAAAATAAAAAGTAAAAACAAATTATTTAGGGTATCTTGATATTTTTTGGAGTATGTTTATGTAAAGAGAATTTTTGTTTTGTCTATTTTATGTTTAGCGAGTTTAAGTCGATGAGCTACTTCACTTTTGTTTTTCAAAATTTTATTTAATAAAATCATTATATTTGTATAAACAGTTTCACCTTGTTACTAATTCTAGTATTTTTAGAGATCTATTTTTACTTTTAACTTTTTCGTATCGGAGACGCATGAATAGGAAGAAAAAAAACGTGACACTTGTTGCGTTAATGGGTATGAGATATTTATGATACTTCTTCCTTTTGATTTTAATTTGTTGGCATTGTGGAAAACTAATATGTATTGAGAAAGAAATCATTTCTTGAGAATATTTACGAATTATGATGACATGTAATATTCTTGGAAAACTTCAGCTTTATTTGAACCACTTTTCTTTTCTCTTTTTTGGTGATTACGTGTATTATGACATATGAAATTAATTATGAAAAATGTTGTTCTTTTTGTCACATCATTATATAAAAATGTGAAAACCATTTCTAAGAGTATGTGATTCTAATTTTCAGAAATATTTATAGAACTGTAGTGACTCGTCCACTTTTACCCGCTAACTAGGTTCCGCTGCTACATTATCATGTATGTTAATGGTTAGGACTTAGGAAAGTTTTCAAGTTGAATTTTAATATAGTTTGTACATGAGCATGCCATAACTGAGGGACTTGTAGAATTAATTGACACTTCAAAATTAACCTGCCGCTTCCCTGAAAATTTTAGCCGGATTATTAGTCCATGATCTCTGTATTCACTGTTAATATGTTGAAGTGTATGACCATTTTATTTAATAAAATTTAAGCTATTAGAGAGAATATTTTATTTATTTAATCACATTTTCAACAAAGAGAAAAGAAAATGACTCTTAATTAAACGTCGTCTCCAAGGGTTAGATATAAGACAATATCGTTCTCATCCTCACTAACTTAGATGTAGGTTTGGGAATTCTATGGATAGAGTAACAAATAATAATATAATAATATTCATAACCTTTTATTTCCGAATCTTAGCTATGTCTTTCTCATAAAATTCTTAAATTGTACCCAGCTAGCATGTCCTAGTAATAAGTAGTACAACTCATCATCTACGAATTAAAGCACCAAAACAAACCTTCCTTTAAGAATTTTGTTAAACCCTTATAGCATGTGTTATTAGCGCAAAGTGCGGTCAAGGCTTAGAACTAAAACCTGCATGCATGTGGGAACTCTACACACACAGACACACACGTACATATAATATACGAATTTGCAATGCATTTCTGGAACACTGGGGTTTTTGATGAGAATTATGAATTGTTTAAGCTAACACAGTATTAGCAAGAATAAATCCTTGTAGACTACTGAAAAAGTCCTGAAGTTGGGAGCCTCAAATTCTGGGAAGCTGCTTCTTTGCTTTTTTGTTGGCATCTGAAAGAAGCAGATTCCTTATTGTAATTACTATAGAGATTATCAGTTTATACTTTGTGTCTAATCTTACTAGAAATATAAATATCATCGGCGTTTGACCAAAAAATATAGATCTTGGTTCAAATAATTAAATTTATGTAAATGAGGGTTAATCTTAACTAACAATAATATTCTTAGACGGAATTTTTAAAGAAGCAACAAAATGTTGCATGGATCTGGCCGGACAGTGGCAATAGCATATAATAAATGTTTTAGAAATAAGAAGGAATAACGTAGCATTCAATAATAATGAATAACAATAAATGACATTTAAGTAAATAGAAGGAATGATTCACCCAATAAAGGATGGAATAAGTGAATCTTCTTCCTCTGCACAAAGATGAATGATAGACAATCCCTTCAATATTCGAATTATTCTCGGATGGGGTGAAAAAGTATAAACGAGAATCTTAGTGAAAATGTGATGTTTGTATCTTAGTAAATGAGATCTGATATTCTTTTTCAAGTCAAAGTACATGCTTTTACAAATGAGTTTCACATGTCGCTTATCATTGTCTCTTTTCCTATTTATATGAGACATATTCCTAAGAAACTCTAGTAGTACAAGTGCAGAGAATATCCATTAGAATATTCTCTTTAATATTTTATCTTGAAAACTAGTCGTTACCGCTTTGTCAACGGTCCTTGACCTCGACCTCGACCTCGACCCTTGTTGATACCTCGACTACGACTCTCGTTGACTCTTCGACCACATACATCGCTACTTCTTGGGCCATTTTGACAAACAGCGACTTGGGAACTCTTCTCTTAATATTTTCATGGCTAAAATATTCTAAAGATAGATTTCGACCCATACAGTTAGCCCCTCCGCTTATTAAGGCCGGTTTCAGGCGAGTTCGATGAGCGGATTTTGTTCGTTGTGGTCGAAACAATCCAGCGAGCTATGCAGGTCATGGTGATTACGGTGAACTGGCGATGTGGCCCTACGCGGGCCGCTCATTTCAAACGCTTCGATTTTCCCGGTCGATTCGTTGGAGTTATGTTGTCCACGAATTAGGATGACATCATGCGTTATTATGACACATATTCCCGATGCGTTGCTTTGTTTCACATGTGACCCCTGATTGATCCTGCTGCTTCAGTTCTGGTGGCAGTCATGATGAACCGTTTTTGGTTCTGGTGCTAAGATCCTTTTAAATAGGGGTATTTCGGTGCGATTATAAAGTTTTAAGTTTTCTGTTGTCTCG